TACGAGAGACATAACCGGATAGGGGCTTTGGTCAGGTCATGTTTCCTCAGTGTCACAGAGATGGATGCCCCGTCTCACTTCTTCTTTGCACTGGAAAAGAAGATTGGGCAAAGAAAGACTGTTCACTCTCTAATGTCTGACAGTGGCTCCACAATCTCAGATCCTTCTGAGATCAGGAAGTTTGCTGTCAGCTATTATAAGGACCTTTTTAAGAGTGATTTCTCAGAAAATCCCAGTTTGTGCAATAGTTTCTTCAAGGGACTCCCTCAGGTGGCGGCTGAAGCCAATCGAAAATTGGAGGCTCAGCCAACTTTGCATGAACTTTATACTGCTCTGATTAGTTTTCAGACTGTAGATTCCTGGCATGGATGAGTAACTGTGAGAGGTCCTGTTGAATTTTACAAAGCCTTTTGGTCTTTGATGGGTGAGGATTTTCTGGAGGTTGTCACGGATAGTCTGCAGAGAGGCTTGCTACCTCTGAGCTGTAGACAGGAGGTTATCGCTCTGCTATGCAATTTGAAGAACTGGAGACCAGTCTCATTGCTCTGTATAGACTATAAGATGTTTCCAAGTCCTGGGCACCAGACTTCGAAACGTGATGGCTTCTGTCATTCATGGAGACCAAACATAGTGCGGGCCCGGCAGGCTGATAAGTGATAACATCACTTTGATTAGAGATATTTTGGACCTCTCTAGCTTTGGGCATAGATATTGGTCTCATTTCTATAAACCAAGAAAAAGCTATTGAATAGGTTGAACACCAATATTTGTGGCAAACTTTCACTGCTTTTGGCTTCAGCCCAGGTCTTGTAGCAATGATTCAGGTTCTGTACTGTGACATTACCAGTGTACTGAAACTAAATGGAGTCTTAAATGGTGCATTCAATGTTCTAAGGGGGTGAGGGCAGGGCTGTTCTTTGTCAGGGATGCAGTATTCCCAGGCAATTGAGCCTTTGCTTCACAAATTAAGACAGGACTTGTGTGGTGTTTAGATCCCTGGGTGCAATGTATCTCTAAAGTTGTCAGCTTATGCCAATGATTGAATTGTTCTGGTCAACACACGGAAAGATATTGAGATTTTAGGGAACAGAGTTTCTCTTTTTGGTTGTATTTCTTCTGCCAAAATAAACTGAGCACAGTGAAGCTGGAGGATGAAAGCCAACTTTTTTTCCACTCGATAAAAGTTAACGTGAGGGATTCTGGTGGTCAGGGACAAATGCAATCGCTTAGCAGGATGCTATACACGGGCCAAACTTCAGTCAGATCAACTGAGATTATTCATCCACAATACGAGGTTAGTTATTAATATACTGCAACAACATGGGAATAGAACAGCTGCGAGAGAATTCAACAGTAATGAATCAACGTTACAGAAGTGGAGGAAGCGCAGTTTTTGGCTTTCCCCATATTTCAAAAGTGCTTCATCTCTTTGCTATGACTGTCGCCCGGCATAATTTGCAGATGATAATGGTTGTAGCCGCTGCGATGCTTTTGACCAAAACAGGCGCAGCTTGATGACATCATCAACATGCGCTATCGCGATAGAGCGATATAGTCAAAATCTCTATCGTTGGCCAAATTTATATCGTTTCTATCATATATCGTTTATATCGCCCACCCCTACTTTGGATTACTTAACTCATTCACTGCCAGCCATTTTCAAATCAGGTAACTCCCCACTGCCAGGGTTTTTGAGCATTTTTACTCATTTTTGAAGAGCCACAGAAAACTGTGTGTTATGATCATATAAACGCTGAACCTACCAAAATGAAGAACAGACTCTCTTCTTTCATCCAAAAAAAAAAGCTTGTTTCTACCATTTTCCATTCTTTAGTAATCAGCTGTAGAAGAGAGGTGGGTTCCACCAAAAATGCCTGTTTTGACCAAAAAAAAGGGAGAAAACGAGCTTTTTGTGAAAAATACATTTCAAGCAGAAAAGTGCCTTTGACACTAATATTTCTTGCTTTGTGACACCTCTAACATATAAAATAGTTTTTCACTCCTATAAAACAGAAATAACACTGAGAAAGGTTATGTTTTATCAAAACAATTTATTTACAAATATATGAAAAAATAAAATGTACATAGTGAAACATTTATTCACAATGAATAATTCACTTTTGTGTGCAGTGTTCAAAACGTAATTGACGTCTATAGACGTCAATGGCAGTGAATGAGTTAATATATTATCATGCTTTTTACAACTACATGAACGTACTATTGCTGCGGGATTTCTTACTATTACTTAAGGTTACTCGCCATACCAATACCAACTAGATTTTTAAATCTTAATATAAAATGAGTAACAGTAGGGTAAGGCTGCACTTTTTGCAGTAATCTTGTATAGAAAATATATATAATATATAAAACAGGTCCGCGGCTCTGAACCGTAAAGCCGGCAGACCCAGTGGCATTTTGATCATCTTTATTGGATACGGTTGCTGGACACAGAGCTGCAGCTCTCCCACTGCCAGCTCAACCTAACACACAACAACAACCCCAACCACAGGACCCAGTGCAATATTTAAGTCGGCAGGCGTGATTGTGGATGCTGTGCAGGTGCATCCGCCTTCCCTGCACGGCACTGCAGGCCACGCCACGCCACACCGTAAAACCGTAAAGGGACCTCTGGCTAATACATCGGGTTCTGTGTTGGGCTCGTAGCCGAAAACTAGCTTTACTTTGTTGTCTGGGTCAAGTTTGCTAGCGAGAGACAGAGAGAGGCGTTGAAAGGCTGCTTAATGTTTCGGAGGAAAACACGAACACAGTGTACAGTCGAGTTTTAGTAGCTTACTTACAACTGGGCTCATCAGGCACTCTTTGGCTGCAGTGGTTATTATTATATTTACATGCTTCCAGCTCCCGCTTCTGGTCGACTCTCCTTTTTCTCCCTCCTCGCACTAACAGACACATAACGTGTATGGCAGTCCATTCTCCCTGCAGCACGGACTACACTGCCCATGAGGCCACATTCTTTAGAGCTATGCCTGTAACACTCTGCCTATTGCCTTCATATTAAACAATTTTTGTGAATAATAATTAAAAAAAATATTTCTTCACATCATTATGCGAGCCACAAGTAGAGGTGTTATGGGCCGCGAGTTTGAGACCCAGGCATTAGAGCCTCTTAATGAGTGTTTAGTTTGAGTTTCCACCAGCGAGGAATTACCAGAAATAGAGAGGGCATAGCCTAACATATGAAACAGGAAGACCGCTGTGATTTTTCCATTTATTTCAACAAAGTGACTGTATTCTGAATACCACATTTTTAAACGGTAACTGTAACGGAATACAGTTACTCATATTTTGTATTTTAAATATGTAACACCGGTACATGTATTCCATTACTCCCCAACACTGCTTGCCAGTGTATATGAATAGGAAGACGAAGGTGACACAAGGGCTGAATGTTGAGGTGGTCTCTGTGTTTGTCAACATGGTGAAGTCTAGGCTGCTGCTAGAATTTAAAGTTTATAAGGCAGCCTCAGACCTACACACTTTTCCTCAGGTCTGGGGTTGCAGATAGACAATCTGTAGTGTGGTTGAGGAGCACCTAGTTTTTGGGCAGGTGTTAATGTAATTATTTGATATATTGTGCTTTATTGATTGATTTTTGTGTTACATTTCAATATAACGTGTGTGCTAATATGTCGATTATCTATTGAGAAATAAAAGTATTTTCTAAAAATCAAAATCTCTTTTAGGTGCTGTTTCTTTTCTGAATGTGTTTTGTTACAGATGCAGCAGTGGGTGGCCTGTTGCGCTTTACTAGTGCTTTGTCCTTTTTTGTCTGTTCTCCATTTCTTCCCCCCTTTTTTTTTTTTTTTTGTCTTTATTTTGTTTTTATATTGAGCCTGTTAACTCTGGCATCGTCACACTACACATATAAAATAAAATAAAATAAAATAAAATAAAATAAAGCAAAAAGGACAGGGCATCTACAACATGATTCTTTTTGCTGAAGCTGCCAGACAGGACAGGTTGATTAAAAACCAAAAAACCCCAAAAAACAACTGTCTCCCCAATTTATTTATTGTTTATATTGATTTATTTATATGTTATGCATGTGTTCATTAATTTATTTTACATTCCCATATACAGTATTTAGTTCAGTTTTATTCTGTCTTAGTTATCTCAAATACATCAGAGGCGTGTTAATTATTTCCAACATTTCTAACCTGGTATCTTGTTCTCTAGATGAGTGAAGCTGGTTCAGTGTGCAGGACACACAGAAGCCGTGAAACATGGCCTGTACATCACAGTCTGCTGAAGGTTATATCAGAAGTGCAAGACGCCACCTTGTGGGAGGATTAAAGAATCTATCTGTGATTTTAGAGAACTTATATCAGCAAGGAGTTCTCTGTGATGAAGAGGTCAGTAAAATACAGGCAGAGAAGGACGACTACGACAAAACCAGAAAAATACTGGACTCAGTCACAAACAAAGGGGAAAAAGCCTGCTATGAGTTCCTCAAAATTATTTACATGACAAGGAAGAGGACTTTAGAGAGACCTCCTCTTCATTCTGGCACCAAGACATTTGACTTGCATCATTGGATCAGCTGCTTTCCCTTCAAGGACGACACAGAAATGAATGCAAACTACTTACAAGGTATTCTGAAGCAAAGATCCAGATTAAATATTTGTTACATTTCATTTTCTTTGTTATCTTTGATGTACTGATTCTATAAAATGTGCTTTAATATGCTGGTATAAATATGTATCCATTATTTTGTAAGAAAACTACATTTGATTCAAAGTCACTTTGTTTTCTCACTGTTTTCAGGACCAAGGCCGTGCCACAGATATCAGGAAAAGTTAAAGTCAAATGCAAAAGAGATGTCAAATAAGTTTTGGGGAGAAAGTAAAAAGCTGTTTGGAGGAAACAAGAAGCCTGATCTGTCGTACGCAACACTTGTATTAGACACAGACGAAAGTGTTTCTCCATCTAAAATAAAGAAAGTGAAGAAAAAGAAAAGCAAGCTGAGTCGCCCTAAAAAGATGAGAAAATACATCCCTGAGGAGAAACCAGACATTCCCCCCAGTGAGCTGCTGGAAACGGATAAAAACATACTCTTGGTTGGTAAACCTGGAATTGGAAAGACAGCACTGACTCATGAAATGCTGAGACTCTGGGCAGAAAGAGAAAGCAAAGAGCCTGATTACATGTTTTACTTTGACATGAGGGAAATATCTGACATCATAAGGGACAAAAACTTAGAGGAACTTCTTTTTGGTGTGTTCTGTGAACCTGATGAAGGCAAAGATGAGGTCTTACAGGAGATAGAGAGACACTCTGACAATATCACAATAATCTTTGATGGGATCACAGATCTCTCCTCACAGGTGGTCAAGAAAGTTTTAACAAAGAAACTACTTCCTCTTGCAAAGATCATCATAACATGCAGACCAGATAATGAAGACTTCCTTTCTGGGGACTTTCACAAAGTGGAGGTGAAAGGCTTTAGTGAGCAGACTATTAAAACATACTTGTCTGCAACACTCGGTGAAGATCAGAAGAAAGTTTTGAGTAGCGTGGAGCTGGTAACTCTTTGTCATGTCCCCATGTATGCACTGATGGTCGCTGTTTGCTTTTCATCAAAAGATGCTCCACAGCCATGTACAGTAACTGAGATATACATCAATATTGTTCGATTCTGCCTTCAGATAAACAGCCAAAAAACGAACAAAGATCTAAATTCCTTCATCAAAACCAAGAGAGAAGAAATTCTGTCTCTGGCTGAAGTTGCTTTTCTTGCAACCCAACAAAAAACTGTGAATCTGACAAACCTGACCTGTAAAGACATCTGTGTCCTGTCCTTCCTGAAACCACTTCTCATCAAGGTGGCCCCGACTGAAACAATAACCACACATGCATTCCTCCATTACACAGTGCAGGAGTTTTTTGCAGCACTGTGGCTCCTGAAGAATCCTGATAAAGTCAGAGATGTTTTTCAGCAGTGCCTCACAGAGGAGAAGAAACACATGAAACATCTGATCCCCTTCATGTGTCGACTGCTGAATGAGAAGAGCCCAAGTTTGATGAAGCATCTGATTCCAGATCAGGACCTGAAGAATACATCTAACTGGTTCTTCAAGGAGCTGATAAACACATTTCTTCCTCATCTGTGTGAGCAAGAAGAGGCTGATACTGAGGGCAGTGGGCTCCATGTCGACATACTGTATGCCAGTGCTTGTATGAGTCCCAGAGTCCTGAAGCGTGCATCTACCTTCTAGACCAGGGGTGGGCAAACTTTTTGATTCGTGGGCCACATTGAGTTCTAACATTTGACAAAGGGGCCGGAACAGGAGCAGATAGATGGCATGCTTTGAAAACATCACCTCATTGGGGGAAAAATACACATCTTGGGATATGGAGAAAACATGTGCTTTAATTTCCAATGAAAATGAAGAAAA